AGCATGGTGAACACCCACATACAAAAAAGAAGCAGATCAACATTAAAAGCACAAACAATTCCGGATCTAGAGGAAATTTCAGCACCCAAGACATTTTTACTATCATGGAAAACAATGCTCTGGCAGCACATATTGCTGAAATTGCATATGACAAATGAGGAACTCATGGTGTTGGAGAATAGAAACTTCCCGTAGGTGCAGTTCAGATCATCATGTGCCATAATTATTCCACTTAGGTCAATAAATTCACATTTCATCAGCTTTACTAGCAGATCTCCGGGGAAAACCTGTTTGGTCACTTCTTGTCCAATGCCCATGGAGTCCAGGATGATGAAATCAAGCACATTGAGCACCCACACAAAACAAGAACTTCACATCCATTGAGATGTTCAGCGCCCAAGCCATTTTCAGCTAGCATTAAAACAACTGCTCCTGCAGCACAAATGATGAATATGCATGTGACATCTAGGGAACACATGGTGTTGGTGAATGGCTACTGCATGAAGGTTCAGCAAATGTCTCTCTGTGCCAAATCTACTCCACTTGAAGCATGAAATTCACATTCCATCAGTTTTAAAAGCTGTTCTCATGGAAAACATATTATTTACTTCTCATCCAATGCCCATGGAGTCTAGGATGATGCAATCAAGCATGTTGAGTGCTCACACAAAACAAGGTTGTAGATCTGAAATGACTGCAACACTAACTCCCACATACTGAGACAAGTTCAGCGCCAAAGCAATTTTTAGCTACCATGGAAAACAACTGCTCTGGCAGCACATATGGCAGAATGTGCATGTGACTCCTAGGGAACTCGTGGTGTTGCTGAATTAGCAATTTCAGAAGGAGTAGTATAGCCTTTCCAGTGCCCAAACTACCCCACTTGGATCATTTCCTTTACAAGCAGTTCTCCCTGAAAGCCTGTTTCTTTACTTCTTGCCCAATGTCCATTGAAAACGGATTGAGGAAATCAAGCATGTTGACCACTCACACAAAAAAAGAATATAGATCCTCATTAATGGCGATAAGAGATCTACATCCACAGAGAGCTCCAGTGCCCAGGCCATGCTCAGCTAATATGGAAAATAACTGTTCTGGCAGCACATATGCCTGAATGTGCATGTTTAATTTAGGGAATTCAGGATGTCGGTCTATGGTACATTTTCCAAGATGTAGTACAGGTCTTCCAGTGCCAGACGTACTACACTTGGCTCATTATCTTCCCATGCCATCAGCTTTAATTGTAGATTTCCCACAAAGCCTGTTTGTCACTTTGTTTTCAAAGCCCTTGAGCCAAGATAATGAAATCAATTAGGCTGAGCACCCACACAAAACCAAAGTGTATCTTCTCTTCAATGCATCAAAAACTATACATCCATGGAGAAGTTCAGCGCGCTAGCCATTTTCAGCTATCACTGAAAACATCTTCTCTTTGATCACATGTGGCTTAATGTGGATGTGACACCTAGGAATCAGAGTGTGTTTGTGAATGGCAACTTCCATAAGGTACAGCACAAGTCTCTCAGGGCCAGAACTAATCCATTTTGTTCATTGTCTTCCCATTTTATCAGCTCTGAAGCAAATCTCCCAGAATGCTTGTTTTGTCCCTTCTTGTTCACTTCCCCTGGAGCCCAGCATGATGAAATTAAGCATGTTGAGTACAAACATAAAACAAGGATGTAGATCCTCACTCAATGCAATAACAACTCCCAAATACTGAGATGTATTCAGCTCCCAAGTCATTTTTACATTCGTTACTAGGTTGAAAGCAACTGCTCTAACAGCACATATGTCATTACCCAAACATGCCATCATCTTTATCAGCAGGTGTCATGGAAACATTCTTTTATGACATCTCCTCTAACGCCCCTGGAGTCCAGTATGATGAAACCAAGCATTTTCATCACCCTCACAAAACACGCATGTAAGTTCTCTCTCAAGTTGTTAATGACTCCACATCCAGAGAGAAATTCAGCACCCAAGCCATTTTCAGCTACCATTGAAAATAACTGCTCTGGCAGTGTTACAGTATAGGTAAATGCTATGATAGTATATTAGAAAGCTAGAACAGAATGTTTTTGTTGAGCAGTGTGAGATTCCTTTGTGCTGGAAAAACTGCTACTTTGCTTGGCCAGGAGGCTCCTGGACTTTGGGAGGTTTCGGCTTTAGTGATATATCTGTTCATTGCTGCCTTGCAACTTTGTCAATCACGGTGGGAGGAGGGAAGGGTGCAATTCTTCTCAGGTCCCAAGAAGAGGAGGAAGATAAGGATGTGAGAATGGGATAAGCCATAAAGATAGTGGGTATGGGAATAGAACAGGCTGCTTGTGCCTGAAGGCCATAAAAATTAACATGTCTAGAATTGCTACTGTTGACGCATTTCCCTGCCCCAAAGGGCCTATATAATCTTCCATCTTTGGCTCCTTTAGGGTCTGACCTCCCTGCTTGAACTGGCTTGTGTGTACCAAGTACAGTCTGGCCCCAGCATGCTGGGGCAATAAATTTTGTTTGCTCTTTGCATTATAAGCTATAATCTTTGTCATTCTGTGGGGGTTTGACTAGCTCACACCTTGTCTTCTAGGGGCATTAGCCCAGACTGTAACATTTGGGGTCCCCCCCAAGATTGTCAGCCCCCTTTAAAGTGAAAAAACAGTCGACTGGTATCAGAGTTAAGTAATTCCTCAAGAGCTTGGTTTACACTGGAGGGGGAGTGAGAAGCTCTGGGGGGCGGGCGGTGTTGAGTGATTTCCCAAGCACTATGGTGGGGACTTGATAGCCATCAAGAAGAGCAAGGAAGTTTCAGGTACCAGCCTGATCATCCCAGAGGGGAGCAAGTGAGGTCCAGGTACTGCAGCAAGACTTGACCACCCTGGAGAGGAGCAAGGGAAGCTTGAGGGAACCCAGGGAAGCTTCAGGGGAGCAAGGCTCCAGTGACTGTGGCGGGACATGACCATCCCAAGTAAGAAACGTAATAATGACCTGCAGGTCAGGAGCAGAATTTCTTCCTGGTTGAAGGCATTGAGCTCACTGATCATCTGCGGTCCATGTGGACACCATATGGAGTGCTCCTTAGTAAGGATCTGGATCCGGAAAGTGTTGTGTGTGTGAGGAGGAGTGCGTTAAAGGACCGGTCTGAGTGAGAGTTGGATTGTTGTGAAACTTTGTGGGCTTGCTATATTGCTGGTTGTATTCTGTGTTTTTCTACCTATCTTGATTAATTGTATTAAGGAAAACTATGGTGCAGAGTTTAGTCACCCACAAGTCTCTATTCCAGAGTCATTTTTCAGAGATTTTGAAGAGGGCTTGCAATATGGGCTTGGAGATCAAGAAGGGCAAGTTGAATTCCCTCTGCTATGTGGAATGGCCCAAATTTGGGGTTGGCTGGCCCCCTGAGGGATCATACTCCCAAGACCTGGTTTCTAAAATCAAGGCAGTTATAACCAGACCAGGGAGAGCAGGACATCTGGACCAGAAGCCACATATTGTGGCAGGATTTAGTAGAGGACCCTCCTAACTGTTTTAGACATTTCCTTCCAGGTTCCCCTAATGGGAGAGTGGTGCCAACCTTGGTGCTTCCAGCCTTAGTTGTCCAGGAATCGCAGGTTGATGCTTAGAAGGGGGGAGAGGCTGCTGCTCAAAAGAAGCCAATCTTCCAGGAAGACCCAAGATTATATTCTTCCCTAATAGCTTTAGATTTTAATGTCATCCCATGGGGAGAGAAACTTCCCCCATAGGCACTCCCACTGCTTATTCCGGAGGCCAACTCTTCCTCAGCCTGGGTCCTCCACGAGCCCATGCTCCTGGAGCGGGCTGCTGCAGATGGCAACCAAGAGCTCATCCTGTTGCAGCCAGCTCCTGGAGTAGTACTGGCCGTTTTCCTCCAGTGACCTCTATAACTGTGAAACTCAGAACCTCTCATTTTGCAAAGACCCCAGAGTGTTTACTGACTTGGTGGAATTGATCATGAACATTCACTGCCCCACGTGGGATAATTTCCAGCAGCTGCTCAAGACATTGTTTCCCACAGAAGAGAGAGAACGTATCCAGAATGAAGCTCAGAAAAATGTGAAAGGAGAGAATGGCAGACCCATGACCCTCCAGAATATAATTGATGATGCCCTCCCCTTGTGATAGCTGGATTGAGACTTCAGGACCCTAGAACGTAGGGAGCATCTCCAGGTTTATCTCCAGACTCTTCTGGCAGTTCTCAGGGTGGTGGCATGCTGACCCATGAATTTGGCCAAAATAGAAACTATGTTGCAGGAAGAAAATGAAAGTCCAGCCGCAATCCTTGAACACCTTTATGAAGCTTATAAGCAGTACACTCCCTGAGATCCCATGACTGAAGAAAACCAGTCAGCAGTAATTATGTCCTTTATTCACCAGGTAGCACCAGATGTCAGAAGAAAACTTTATAAGAAGGAAGAGTTGGAGGGATGAGTATTAGGGATCTTATGAAGATAGCAGAGAAAGTCTTTGATAGCAGAGAAACCCCTAAAGAAAAAGCGGAAAGAATAAGGAAGAAAGATCACAAGTTCCAAAGCAGAAAAAATAGGAAGCAGCAGAGGGAAATGACAAGAATCTTTTGGCTGGGGTCAGAAATGGGCCAAGGTCTCCTAGGTCCCAGGAGAGGGGATGGAGCCCCTGCTGGTACAGGTCCAGGTTAAGCAGAGAACAATGCTTCTGCTGCCGTGGGTTGAAAGAAGGAATGTCCACAACTCAGCAGGAATCAGAGAGAGAGGCAGAGGGCAGAGACAGTGAACACAGCACGACTAATGCTGACAGAGGAATACTAGGGAAGTCAGGACTTGGCTCCCCTCCCTGAATCTTGGGTAACTTTATATGTAGAGGGGAAACCAATAGGGTTTATGGTGGATATAGGAGCCCAGTACTCTGTACTTAACTAAGCCCAAGGCTCCCTCACTGATAAGACTAACATACTATAAGGAGCAACAGGGTTGCAAGTTTGTTCATGGACAAACAATAGAAAGGTAGACCTAGAAAAGCACTAGGTCACACATTTGTTCCTGGCGGTCCCAGAGAGCCTGACACCACTACTAGGCAGAGACCTGCTCACTAAGATTGGGACTCTCATTCACTTTGAGCCAAAAGAAATGGAAGTAACTGACAATCAGGGGCAGCCACTTCTCATACTGATTGTGTCTCTAGCCAACATGCACCGCTTCTTTTCCAAATCCCCAGCAGCCTGCGATAAGGACATGGACTATTGAGTTAAGGCCTGCCCCCAGGCCTTCGCCAAGATTGCAGGAATAAGATTGGCAGCACACTGGCCCCCTGTGGTGGTAGAATTTAAAGCCAATGCACAACCAGTATGGGTAAAGCAGTACCCCATGCCAGACGAGGCTTCCCAACGCATTGCACCCCACATTCACAAGTTGATAGCGGCTGGTATTCTAAAGGCCTGCCACTCTCCATGGAACATGCCATTGATCCTGGTGAAAAAGCCAAATGGGCAGGACTATCGCCCAGTCCAAGATTTGAGGAGAGTGAAAGAGTGGAAAATATGCATCCCACAGTGACTAATCCATACACTCTTCTAAGCCACCTCCCTCCTTCACATGTTTGGTATATAACCCTTGATCTAAAGGATGCCTTCTTCAGCATAGCCTTGGCCTCAATAAGCTAGCCAATATTTGCTTTTGAGTGGTGCGAAGTAGGCAAGACTGCTCAGTTGACCTGGACTCAGCTCCTCCAAGGATTTAAAAGCTCACCCACCCATTTTAATAAAGCACTTAGCCAAGACCTAAAACCGTATTGGTAGGTGCACCCCGCAGTGATCCTGCTGCAATATGTAAATGATTTATTCCTCATCACTCTGACTGTGAAAGATTGCCAGAAAGCTACTAGAGACTTGCTTAAAGAGCCGGGGAGATTGGGTTATTGGGCCAGTGCAAAGAAGGCCCAGATCTGCAAACAATCAGTAACTTATCTGGGGTATAAACTCAAGGAGGGGGCTCGATGCCCAACAAAGGTCATGAAAGAAACTATTCTCAATTCCCATGCCCACCTCTACACAAGAGGTGAGAAAATTCTTAGAGTCAATGGGTAATTGCAGACTGGATACCGAGTTATGCAGAGTTAGCTAGTCTCCTGTATGAAGCTGCTAAAGAACAAAAGGACTGGAAATGGCTAGAGAAACACCAGCAAGCCTTTAAAGAACTGAGGGCCACACTCCTTAAAGCCACAGCTCTGACACTCCCTAACCTGATAAAACCTTTTATCATCTTTGTGGATAAAAGACAAGGACATTGTAAAAGGAGTCCTAACCCAACAGTTGGGCCCATGGAAGGGACCAGTGGCTTATCTATCAAAGAAGCTTGATCCTGTAGCTGCTGGCTGGCCACCATGCCTCTGTGCCATAGTTGCTATTGCGTTCATGGTACAAGATGTAGACAAACTGACTTTTGGCCAGAACATAAAGATCATTGCTCCTCATGCTTTTAAGAGAATCCTAAGACAACCTCCTGGCAAATGGATGAGCAATGCAAGGCTCATGCACTATCAGGGGCTCTTAGTAGATTCTCCCAGAATTGTGTTCCTTGAACCAGCCATCTTGAACCCCACCACCTTGCTGCCTAACCCAGACATAGAGACCCCTTTCATGATTGCCATGAGATCCTGTGAGAAGTCACTCAAGGTCATCATGATCTCCTGGACATTCCCTTGCCAAACAAGATGACCTGGATGACAAACAGTAGTAGATTTGTGAATAACGGAGTGCGAAGGGCGGGGGCACACAACGGGGGAAGTAGTCTGGAGCTGTGCCCTTCCCCCAGGGACTTCAGCGCAAAAGGCAGAGCTAATTGCACTGTCTGAGGCTCTTGAATAAGTGGAAGGAAGGCAGGTGACTGTTTACACAGACAACCGGTATGCCTTCGGTACTGTGCATGCTCACGGCGCCATATACAGAGAGCGAAGCTTCATGACAACAGAGGGGAGGAACTGCAAAACCTGGCAGAAGTACAATGCTTATTTACAGATGTAGAGAAACACAGGGTGTCTGACATAGTGCATATGCCAAGTCATCAGTTCATAATCACTGCCGAGGCAGTGGGAAAACTCTGTGCAGATGAAGAAGCCAAAAGAGAAGCCATGGATGTTGGAGACTCCAGAAGCAAGGAGGTGGAAGCTGTCCAGATAGCAACAATAGACTTACCAATACCAGAGCTCCCTGTGCTGCCATTTCTGCCAAGCTGCACTTCAGAAGATTTGGAGTGGATCCAATGCCTACACCTCCAGGAGACCAAGTTGGACAATCAATATAGGGATTCAGAGGAAAGACCGCTTTTGGCTACAGAACTGGGGGAAATTTTTCATCACCAACTTACATGAAACCACCCACTTGGGGTGGAGGAAACTGCTGGGTCTATTTGACACTGCCTCCCTTCAGTTTCCACATCAGAACTCTGAGGCCAGATGGATAGTGGTGCAGTTTGCAAGATGTCAGGCAATGAAACCTAGCAAGAGGAGATTCCCACATACAGGTACTTGGATTTGGGGGAGGGCATAAGGATGTAATTGGGAAATAGACTTTACAGAGGTAAGGCCGAGGAAGTTCGGGTACCGGTATCTTCTAGTCTTTGTAGACACATTTTCAGGGTAGAAGCATTCACTACTAAGAAGAAAACTAGTCAGATGGTGGCTAAAGTATTGCTTGAGGACATTATACCTCGACATGGGATTCCAGTTATGCTAGGATTGCAAAACTGCTCGGCTTCACTAATAAAGTCATACAAGGGCTGGCAAGAGCCATGGGAACATATTAGAAGCTGCATTGTGAATATAACCCATAGAGCTCAGGGCAAGTAGAGAGAATGAACAAAACCATTAAGGCGAACTTATCTAAATTAGCCTTCGAGACAGGCGGAGGCTGGGTGACTCTCCTTCCCTTCACCATCTTTTGAACTCGGAATTCTCCTTATGTGCATGGATTGACCCCATTCAAAATTATGTACTGAGTTCTGCCCTATTGTCCAATGAGTCCTTTCTATGGACAAGATGAAGGTAGCTCCAAATTATTTGGCTGGCATGCAGGCATTGCTTACAGTGAAGCAAGAGATTTGGCCTCTGCTGCAAGCTTATTACAAAAAAAAAAAAAAAAAAAAAAAAAAAAGATTATCCGAGCCTGGAGCATGGAATTGTCCTGGGTGACTGGGTCTGGGTATGATGTCAATGAGCCAAAACTCTCGAGTCACATGGAAAGGCCCTTATGTTGTGCTTTTTATAACCCCATCTGCCCTAAAGGTCAACAGAGTTGGACCATGGATGCATCACTCACGCATCTAAAAGGCTGTTGCTCCATCCCCTGAGCTGAAGACCAGCACCTCGTGGAAAGCACAGCATCATCCCAACAAACCAGTAAGACTTAAGCTTGTGAAAAATTCTGAGGCAAGCACCCAGTCTACGCGTTCCACAGACTCAGCTTGGTAGTCTTTGTAGCCTTATGTGGTGAGACCTCTGCTGAAAATCCTCATCAGTCATACAACATCACCTGAAAACTGAGAGATGGACGCACTCATCAGGTTCTTGCCTGGACATCAGCCCTACAGACTCTAAACTTGTGGTGTCCAGATTTATACTTCAGCTTAAGAGACTTTACTATAAAGAAATGGTCCTTAAACAGTGTAGGTGTGCAAAGTTTCTATGCTTGCTCTGAATCCACTAGAAAAACTTACAGTACATGTAGGGGTGTGAATGACTATTACTGTAGGAGTTGGGGCTGTGTAACTTGTAATGATGGGCCCCAGAAGTGGGCTGTTGCTAAGTCAGATTTAATACAGCTCTCTTTTGTTCATCCATTGACATGGGAAATGTGGCGTTCACCTCCTTGGGTTAAGATTTTTTATGGCAAGTCCCTGTGTGATTTAGTCAAAGTTAGATTCACTAAACTAGGGAATAGAGGTAGAAGATGAATATACAGATTGACCTGGGGTGTTGTGTTATATCACGCATACACCTGCAACCGCAGTGGAACCTTCCTTGTGTCTCAGATGGTGGAGCCCATTACCCCTCTTTCATCTCCAGCAGCCACCCCTTACACCCTCCTTCCTTCTAACACTCCCACTACAGAAGAGGAGCAGACTGAAGCTTCTCCTCTCCCAATCTGGGGTCAAAAAAAGCACAAATCTTAGTGGAAGCTAATCTGTGCACTGTATGACACTCTAAATGTTACTAATCCTGACCTTACCCAAAAATGTTGGTTATGTTACAGTGTCTACCCACCCCCCCCATTTTATGAAGCTATCAGTGTCAACTCTACCTGGAGCTATTCAACAGTAGCCCCAACTAACTGGGTTGACAGGAGCTCCTCTAAGACTATGACCCAAGTTAGTAGCCGGGGATCCTGCATTGGTACTGTCCCTAAAGACAAGCACAGACTTTGCTCCACAATAACAATTCTTGTTGATTCAGGTAAAACTGGTTGATTATCTCCCATCTCAGAGGGTTGGTGCTTTTGCTCTTGCAATGGATTAACACAGCATATAATTATTGCTGTTTTTTATGCAACTACTGATTTTTGTATAATTTTGTCTGTTCTTCCTCTTGTCCTGTATCAAAGTGAGAATGATATACTCCAACATTTGGAACCTGACTCTATCCTGAGGTATAAGAGAGAGCCAATTACTGTTCTAACCATAGCTGCCCTGTTAGGTCTACAACTGGCGATCACAAAAACAGGAATTGCATGCTTAATCACTCAGACCAGAGAGATCAGCTCCTTATGGACAACGATTGATGAAGACCTGGAGTGCATAGAATGATCCATTAGCCATTTAGAGAAACCCCCCACCACCTTATCTGAAGTAGTCCTACAGAATCAGAGGAGTCTGCATATATTATTCCTAAGGCAAGGCGGATTTTGCTCCACCCTGGGATAGGAGTGTAGCTCCTATGCACACCATAGTAGGGTAGTGAGGGATTCCATGGCTAAGCTCTGTGAAGGAATAGACCAGATAAAAAAAGGAATGAGGTTCCCAGCAAGGATGTTTTAAGTCGAGGTTCAAAATGAGCCCATAGCTAACTACACTCTAATATGGCCTGTAGTTATCCTTTTTTATTAGTTACAATTAGACCCTGTATCTTGAACAGACTGATAAAATGTACAAAAGACCGTATCAGTACTTTCCAATTGCTAGTCATCCGACAGCAGTTCCAGCAGTGCCCCTCCCTGAGGAAGATTCCTCAGCTAGAAAACAGAAAAGGTGGAAGTGTTAGAGCATAGGTAAATGCTATGATAGTATATTAGAAAGCTAGAACAGAATGTTTTTGTTGGGCAGTGTGAGATTTCTTTGTGCTGGAAAAACTGCTACTTTGCTTGGCCAGGAGGCTCCTGGACTTTGGGAGGTTTCGGCTTTAGTGATAAATCTGTTCATTGCTGCCTTGCAACTTTGTCAATCACGGTGGGAGGAGGGAAGGGTGCAATTCTTCTCAGGTCCCAAGAAGAGGAGGAAGATAAGGATGTGAGAATGGGATAAGCCATAAAGATAGTGGGTATGGGAATAGAACAGGCTGCTTGTGCCTGAAGGCCATAAAAATTAACATGTCTAGAATTGCTACTGTTGACGCATTTCCCTGCTCCAAAGGGCCTATATAATCTTCCATCTTTGGCTCCTTTAGGGTCTGACCTCCCTGCTTGACTGGCTTGTGTGTCCAAAGTACAATCTGGCCCCAGCATGCTGAGGCAATTACTCTGTTTGCTCTTTGCATTATAAGCTATAATCTTTGTCATTCTGTGGGGGTTGACTAGCCCCACCCTGACGTTCAGGGGCATTAGCCTGAACCCTAACAGCAGCACATATGGCAGAACGTACATGTGTCACATAGGGAACACATGGTGTTTGTGAATGGCCAATTTTTGAAGGAGCAGCACAGGTTTTCCAGTGCTAAAACTGCTCCATTTTGGTCGTTAACACCCAATGGAATCAGCATTACTAGAATCTCTCCCAGAAAGCCTGTATTGTCACTTCTCATTCAATGCATATTGAACCTAGTATGATGAAATCAAGTTTGTTAAGCACCCACACAAAGCAAGATTGTAGATCCGCACTCAACAGCTTAAAAATTCCAGCATTCAGGAGGAGTTAAAATGGCCTACAGAGTTGGACTGATGTAGCCGAGGGTCCTAGAAGATAGGGATGGAAGCAGTCTGAAGTGAGTCCGAGAGGAAAAGAACCACAGGGAATATTGTGGGAAATTCCCCAGTCCCACCAGTACTGAGCGAAATGGCACATGGCAGTAGAACAATCATGAAATACTGGGATCGTCAGCAGGAGAAGGACAGGGTCAGAGCCCTGGACTGCAGAGGTTTTAGACTTTGGTGAGTAGCTAACACAGGGGAGAAACCCAGGAGCAAGCCGCGGTGAATTGCTAAAGCAGGAAGGTGCCTGCGCTTGGCAGGAGGTGAAACCAGGCAAGTGGTCAGGAAGCAGACCTCGGTGAAATGCAAAGAGAACCCCTCCCCGAAGCAGGAGGCAAACCTGGGCTAACAGAATTGGGCTAGCGTATTTCAGTGAGTTGCTAGCACAGAGAAAGACACATCCTTAGAAGAAGGAACTTGAAACCAAAAAAAACAAAACAAACAATAACAACAACAACAAAAAAACTAGACCAGCAAGACTTCAGGTCACCCAATAGCTGCAGCAGAGGTCAAGGCTGTGAAGCCAGCAATACCTCATGGACATGGAGCCAAGTCATAGGGAAATAAATAGTCAGAGGATGGAGCCAATAACATCCCAAAAACTTACATAAGGCATGGTTAATCACAGACATTACAGATGAAGAATTTGAAGATGTACCAGATAAGGAGTTCAGAAAAATAATTATGATACTCTTCAGAGACAATGAAAAACGATGGGAGGAACTTAAGGAATTCAAAAACCACATAATCAGAGGAAAAAAATTACTGAAAACGAGATCCTCTACCTGAAGCACAGAATTGAGAGCTTAACCAACAGAACTACTGCAGCAGAATATAGGATATCCGAATTGGAAGATTCCCAGAATAAAAGCAGGTAGATCATTAACCAACTGGAGACACCATTACACAAAACATCCAAGGCAATCCACGGGATGAACGACAATATCAAGCAGTCGACTATCACAATTATGGGGCTCCCAGAGGGAGTGGAAAGAGAGATAGGCATAGAACCAGTGCTCAATGAAATTATGCAGGAGAACTAAGAACAGGAGAACGCTTGGAACATGAGCCCAGTCCAAATACAGGAAGGCCAGAGAATGCCACACAGGTGTGACCCGAAAAGATCTTCTACCAGACACATGGTAATCAAGCTCCCCTTCAATGAACACAAAAAAAGAATCCTGAGGCTAGCACAAAGCAAAGACAAGCTTACATTTAGAGGCAGGTCCATCAGAATCACTGCTGATTTCTCAGAACAAATGCTCCAGGCAAGAAGGGAATGGAATAAAATCTTTCAAATACTAAAACAGAACAACTGCCAACCAAGAATTTTGTAACCGGGCAGAGATCTCATTTGTATTTGAGAATGAAGTTAAATACTTACATAACAAGGAAAAAAATAGAAAAATATGCCAGCACAAAGCGTGCTCTACAGAATCTCCTCAGAAATGCACTACTACCAGAGAAAAAGGAACCAAATCACAAGCAAAGACTGCAAGTGGGAAGACCTCCATATTAAGGCTAACACAAGAAAAAACATTCAGAAGCCAACAACCTGAAAGACACACACTCATGGCAGGACAAAATAGCAACCTCTCAATAATAAACATTAACAGAAAGGGCCTCAATTCATAAGTCAAAAAATACAGATTAATAGACTGGATTAATAAACAGGACCCAGATATCTGCTGCCTACAAGAAACGCATCCACAAGATAAGATGTTAAGAGACTGAAGGTAAAGGGATGGAAAAAGATATTTCTTGCCAATGGAAGAGAAAAAAAAAAGGCTCATGTATTGATCCTAATTTCAGATGATATAGACTTCAATGTGACAAACATCAAAAAGGACACAGAAAGACATATTATATTGTTGAAAGCAATGATCCATCAGGAAGTGATTACCAACCTTAACATTTATGCTCCAAGTCCACATGCACCCAGCTACGTGAAACAATTACTTATAGACTTAACGGGAGATATAGAGGAACATACGACAATCCTGGGTGATCTGAATACTCCATTAACACCAATAGATAGATCAACGTGACAAAAGCTCAACAGAGAAACAACAGAGCTCACACAAACAATAGAACAACTGGACTTTGTAGACATCAATAGAGTATTTCAACTTAAGGCTGCAGATTATATATATTTTTCAGCAGTACATTGCACCTTCTCCAGGAAAGACCACATAGTAAGACACAAATCAAGTTTAACTAAGTATAAAAAAAAATCAGAATCATACCATGTAGATTTCAGACCATCACGGAATAAAACTGGAAATCCACAATTCAAAACACCCCAGGAAACATGTAAACTCTTCGAGGTTGACCAATATGTTATTAAATGAGTAATGGGTTAGAGAAAAAAATCAAGGACAAGTTCAAATAATTGATGGAAACCAATGAAAACTCAGATACAAGGGTCCAAAACTTGTGGGACACCACCAAAGCTGTGTTACGTGGTAAGCTTATTGCAATTAGTGTTCATGTCAATGCACAAGAAATGCAGAAAGGCATCAAATACCAGAATTAAGCATACACCTCCAGGAATTGGAAAAACAGCCACAAAATGATCCCACAACAATATCAGGCAATAAATTAACAAATAAATCAAATAGATATCAATAACACTATACACAAAATCAATGAATCAAATAGCTCGTTTCTTGAGAAGCTAAATAAAATACACACCCCACTGGCCTGATTAATAATCAGAAAGCATGACAAAACGAGAATTAGCAGCATCAAAGATGAAAAAGGCAACATAATAACAGACACTGCAAGCATTAGGAAAATAATTAGAAATTACTACAAAGAACTGTATTCCAACAAATCAGATAACAACTTGAAAATGTTAAGGTTGCAAGACTCCCACCGCTTACCAAAACTCACATCAGAGACAACAAAAGACCTGAACAAACTCATTAGCTAAGCAGAGATTGAATCAGTGATTAAAGATCTCCCAACAAAGAAATGCCCAGGCGCAGATGGCGTTACTGCAGAATTCTACAAAACATTCTAAACAAAGCTAACTTCAATCCTCTACAAGCTCTTCAAAACAATAGAAAAGGAAACA